AGCAAAGCTCTTTGTCTTTGAGTTTGAGGGACTAAATATAATTTAATTTAATTTAATTATTTAATTGTGAAGAGGGTTTGGACCTGTATGAATTATTCTTTTATCTTCATCATACACATTGCCTTCTTCTCCAGCTGGTGGTTGGTTTGGTGCTGACACTGCTGCATGTAACTGTGTCTGTGGTGGTGCTGTTCTGAACAACATAGCTTTCCGGCTAGATGAGACTGAAGTACTACGGTGGTGGTGGTGGTGGTGGTGGGCGGCGGATGATGGAGGCAAATAATCTGTCAGAATTAAGATGACCCAGATGAGAAAAAGTTGAAATCTTGGATCACTATCGCTTCTACTCCTTCTTCCTCTTCTAGTTGCTGCTGCTTTCTTTGGAGAAACTCGAGCCATTTGAAAATTGCTTGCGAAAAGAGCAATCGGAAAGCTAAGAGTGAGATCTTTGACTTGCACAAAGTAAGGGAAAGTTTGGGGTATCTTATGATTCAAAAAGACAAAAACCCTTTTCGAGAGAGGGGGTTGGGTGTGGAGAGAAGGGGAGCTTAGGTGGTTCAACAAAAAGCTTCTAAAATTTCTTCTTCTCTTCCTTATCTTATGGGTCTAAGTCACATGATCGTGACCCTTGATTCCTGGAACCTTCTTATTTATATACATATATTATACATCTCTTATTTCTTCTCCTTCTGAAACTTTGGACTTTGAACCCTTTTTCTCATTTGACTTGATTTAATACACTACCTAAACTACTACGTACAACAACGATATGTTTTGGCATCTTTAATTTTAACTACAAATAAATATCGGTAACTTTGGTATGTAATTAATTAATTTAAATGCATTTCAAACACACAATTAAAGTGTTTCAATTCATAACTTTTGTATATGTAGTCGATAATGATACTTATATGAACCACAAAGTGGTATCTGATTGGTTTGAGCTTGGCTTCAAAAGTCAAAAGTACCAGTAGGTCCCAGGTTCAAATTCAAGGAAAAATAAAAATCTTCGGTTCAAATGCGGTAACTCCGGGCTATCTACAAAGCAGATGATCGTTCTAAGATTAATCGGTTCGTATAATAACTTGGATATCTAGGTTAATAAAAAAAAATTGATCTTGGTAAATATTGTTTTTCTTTTAATATAATATTATTTGTCATAAAAGTTATTATGTTAGATATGAATATTATAATAATGCATAAAAATATTGCTTTAAAGGGATTGGAGGTGGTACTGTCGAGTGTCCAGTATTAATTGCTACGGCCCCAATGGAATAATAAAAAACTCGTAAAAAACAAAATGCTCAGGTTTCCCCCCTTAATTTTCTGTGTGAAGTTTCTAAATCATATAATATTACACGATCTTCAAAGCAATATACAATTGCCAATATATTAATTATTAAAATACTTTAATTTTTAATTTAGGATCATGATTATTTGATGATAAGAACCCTCACAAATGGATAACCCAAAAGTTGACGCGTTTTTATTTTTTCAATTCGTCTTGTCATATTTAACTCGCGTATGTTGTATGTAATAAATAGTTTGGTGATACAATGTCGTCTGATATTTATAATCAAGAACGTTGTACGTATATTCAACGTGTCATGTTAATTGGTCTTCAAACAAATATAAACTAATATTTATTTTAACATATAATAAATGTGATCACATGATGCAATGCGATATGTATTTTGATTTTAAAGCTCGAAACTCGAATCCTGGATTTTAATTCATGATTCGTTCTAATTTTTTTGTTTTTTCTCGATTTTTGTTCTATGGTTTTATGTGGTTTTAAAGAATGAGAGAGAGTGTCCGATAATTGTTATCAGTATTATATATGCTATATTAGGGGGTTCCTCTTTATCTTATTATTATGTCTTGTAGTTGAACGTGTTTGTTAGTTAGTTCTATAAAATTCAACGTATCATTTTAAGTTGTTCAGAATATATAGCATGTACATATACTCCTGACCAACATTTTGAAAACCTATATAAATTGTCGATGTGAATATCAAATTAAAGATAATAAAATATTTATTTTTTAATATAACATGTTTAATAAAAAAATTAATTACATTTAAGATGATTTAGATTATAAAATTGAGGTAAATTCTAGAGTTTATCACTTGATTATTAATTACTTTTAGGAAGTTTTTTAATTAGTTATACATTGGCTTAATACTTGTAATATTAAAACTTAAGATATTTATAATAAACGATATATGATATTTAATAAATTGATGTTAATATTTTTGATCATCTTTTTAGTAATGTATTAAAGACATATGCTTCAACTAAAATAATGTTAGTGTAAAAAATGCTTTAGCAGACATCCAACCGTCAAATAGGATAGATTGAAAGATTGGTTCAACAAAGTGTCATACATATTTTGTTGTATATGCCTTTAAAGTTCCTGCATTAGAGAGTTGTACATGTTGCATTAAAATTTGTAAGCAACCTTGGTCATGTGACCCAAGGTTGATTGTCTCGGTTTCACAAGAGTTTGCTCGATTTTTCTGAAGCTACGATACCAAAAATTAATGCCTACTCGTGCATTGAGGAGTTCGCTACCTGACCTGACCTGACCTTACATCACATAGGATGCATGATGTTGGTTGTTTCGCGTTGCAAATTGCTTGCGGCCACTTTGGGGAACCGTGGTGATCTTACCATGCGAACTTAATTATGTCATAGGCAAGGCCATGTAGCATATGGGCTTGGTAGTTTATATTGCCATTTTAGATCATCTCTTTAGTTATCTTCACAATATTTTTACCTTAAATAGTTCCAATTCTTGTAATGAATCAAGTGCCAGAAAATCAGTACTTCTTCGTTGTTTCTTCATTCCAAGCATTGTAATCATTCTCGTTACTAAATTGACTTCTGTTAGTGATCTCTTCCATCTGTGGTTTTCACCTGTTCTAGGTTTCCATATAAATCATGTGTTATTTTCTCTCTCTCATTCTCTCTGCTCTTTTATTTTGGATCAAGTCCATTGCTTTATTTGTTTGCTATATAATCAACATTAGGATTTGGTTGTCAATCTTTACGCATTACAAACTACTTATCTTTCATGCATTTGGATTCATGGGATTCCTGACTTTTTTGCCCTGTTTGACTTTGACTTGGTTGAGGTTACTTCTAAGATTGTGTTGTCAACAAGTTAAGGGTATTTTGTAACAAGTTTTGTTCTATACTCTTATCGAATAAGATTTCATCACTAACCTCCGCCATAATAGGCTAGGTGTTTTACCAACAACTTCTTGAACAATTATAGTTGGATTATAGTTGAAACCAATAGAAATACGACCATACCATAATCAATTTTTTCTATAATAACAAAATTGCGTTAAAATACTTAAGGAAATGAGACTTTTGTTTCTCATAAAATATTATATGATAATAATCAAATTTGATGCCATCACATGTTAGATAACTTCAATAGAATTATCAAATAGTGCTCCCTCCCTGTCTCTGGGCATCTCAGAACCGATTGGATTGGAAGGAGGGTGAGGAATGAATGAAGACAATACATGCTTTGACTGTTGATAAAAAAATGGAACTATCATGTGAATCACAGGTATTGAGATCAAAAATATATAGTTCATATACATTTTCAACCTATATTCGTAAATTAAACTTTAAATAAACCAAATTGACCCTACGCGTGTGTGAAATTCTCTGATTTACCTTAGGGATAATAATTTCTACAGTGTCTAGTCCTTTTGACAAGACCGTAACCTTTTATCTAACATGTTTGAATTTTTTAGTCACGAGTTCTTATAAAATAATATATTTATATTTTCCTTTAAAAGTATTTTATGTTTCAACAAGAAATATAATATAGTTTATAAAATCGAAGCATATGCTACAAAATACTAAAATAACGGGTGTCATTTTCACCTTAATTCACTTATTTTTCTCTCCCTTTAAGCTAATGGGCCCCTTGGCCATGGGTAAAATTAGACCAAACCTGCCGACATACAAATGTCCATATCAACACGTGGGGTGGGATAGTCTTGGAAATAACATAAGTAAGCACTTGTTTCAAAATATCTATATTATATTATAAAATATTTGACAAAAATTCTTAAAATTCATTTTTTACGTACGAAGTACTGTTTATTGATGCATATTACTTAAAATTTAAGATTACAAGTAAATTATGCCTAAGTTAAAGTTTTATATTTGAATTCATGTAACTTTTGGCAGATAAACATAATATAACATCTCATTTTAAATATAAAAAATCTAAAATATAATTAGGATAATCATTGAGTTCTAACAGAATACTTAGTTATTATCTTTATAAAAAAATTATATTATTAAACCTAAATTAAATTATGATTAAAAATTTGAAATAAGAAAATTACATCGAAACATAAGAACTTTTAAAAAGATTAATTTGATATTGATATCGATATATATTTTTTTTCAAAATTTTATGATATTTTCAAATTTATATTTTATTCAAAAATAAAAACATTATCGTTTTCTTAAAACCATATAAAATTGTATTATATTGACATCAAAAAAAAAAAAAAAACACTAAAATCAAGATGTGTCTTAATGCATTATATAAGTATTTTTCTAATTTTCTCAAAAAAAAAAAAAACTATAAAACTCAATATTTAAGTAAGTAAAATATTCAATTATTTTCCAGCAATAAAGACATTGGAGTTAATAAATTAATATTTTATTAAATATATTGAATATTTTAATAATATAATTAATAATTTAAATAATTATTGAAGTTATAATTCTTTTAAGATATTTTAAATTTTATAATAGAAAAAAATTATAATCCAACAAATTAAACATCTACCATCCGCCAAAAATTAATTAAATAAATTTATAATAACTAATTTTTTGTTTTTTTTGTAAAATTCAAACGGACCCAAACTTGGGCCATGGCCATCGACATGAGCCCAACTACAAAATAACATGCATTATTGATATTGATTAGTCGTTTGTAAGTGGAAAATTCGCAAATCAGAAGGTGATGATCGAAGTGCCACGAATATGCGAAATTCCTTTTCCTATTGGAAGATTCGTGCTATAATTCGCATCTGTTTTTGCAACTCTGTCTGACATCTTCTACTACTTCTACACTCACGGCTTTTCTTCATTCATACCCACTCGATTTCTTCACGACTTCCAGGTACATCGTACCCTCCATTCTTTCTATATCTATATGTCTTTTGTTTGTTCTTTTCTTTGTAATGCATAATTTACGGCTTCCCCTTCAATTGATTGATGATAGTTTGTATAAGTTTGTTTGATGAAACTTTAATTGGGGTTTGTCTTGAAATAGGGTTTAGTTCTCAGATTACAATTGGGTTTATAATTTTGGATTTGGGTTTTTGGGGGTTAAGCTGTTCAATGTGATTAGCTAAATAGATCGGAACTGGGGGGTTTTGGTTCAGTTTTGGAGCTGGTTGGGTGGATCTTGCGACTCAATTTCAAAAAACAATTTTTTGTCAGATTTTAAGCTAAAATTACATATTCTGTCCATTGCTATCGAAGATGATCTTGATTTTGGTCCATATTGTTTACGGGCCAAAATGTTCCAATCTTCTGTAAAACGACTACACCATTATACAAAGTATACTTTCATATCTTCCCAATTAATTTTATTTCCTAATATTAATCTTGGCCAATCACTCGAATATCATTCGTTAATTCACAAGTGTGCATGTCTGTGGATATATATATATATATATATATATGTGTGTGTGTGTGTGTGTGTGTATGTATGTATGTATGTATATATATATATATATGTATGTGTATATATTTATATATTTATATATGTATGTATGTATGTATGTATGCATGTATGTGTATATATATATTTATTTATATTTATATATGTATGTATACAACTTTGGTGAAAGTTATATGGATTGTTCTCATTATAAGCTTACAATTCTTAACTTTTTCTCTGAGCAGGCTCATTGTGCATCTAGAGCTGTCTGTTTGAAGATCTACTTCTTTGTTGGCAATCAGTCTAACGTCGACTGATTGCCAATTGGATTTATGGGTCCAGAGAGTACGTCTAACACGGGAAGAGCCCTAGAACATGTGCATGGAGTCCATGTGGTTCAACATTCACCCTTTGAGTTAGAAGAGATCTCTCAAAATGGAAACTTTCAGCAGTCAACACATGGAAGGTTGACCATAGGAGTTAATCAGCTCTTAAGAGTGCATACTGTACAGTGAGTGCAATATAAGTTATTTTCTTTTAGCTTCAATTCGGAGATGTGTTGGTGGTAATTGTATATATCTTCACATTCTTTCTATCTTTTCTGTTGATAATAGGAGAGTATGGCAGCAGAGACCATCTTGTCTGAGACCCATCCATTGTTGTTTACATGGTATATATCGACTATATTGATACAAATGTTGCATGTATTCAGTCACTTGCAAATGAACTGCAAGATCTAATTTTTTTTTTTTTTTTTAAATTCCGTTAGGCGATAGACATCTTGGTGAGAGAATTGCGAACGTGCTAACTTCAATTCCTTTTATTGCTGTCGGGTTCCAAGCTCCAAGGCACGTTCTCTGCGTATTTCTTTACTGATGATTAGTATGTTGGATATGGAGCATGATACAAACTGTTCATAGGACCATTAAACTTGTTAAAGAACAGTTATACCATTTAGTTAGGAATCAGACTGTTTATTTTTCCATATACTTCTGAATTCATGAATTATATAAAAGCAACGACATATAAATACTGGGTGTTTGATTTCTCATTTAACGCAACTGTTATTATGTGTGTGATTCTTGATGTTTTTTCGTCTTGGTATGTCTGATTTTTCAGAAAGAATTTGAACTGTAAGCTTTATGCAAATTCGTTAATTGGAGTCGGAATCGCGTCAAGTTTGTACCATTCTTCTAGAGGGAGATGGAGGAAGTATTTGAGATGGGCTGACTACACGATGATAGCTACAGCTACAGTGGTTAGTAATTTAAATCTTTTTAACAACTCAAACCAGCTGATTTCTTGTTGGTTACATATTTAAGATTATTGGAATACGTATGATAATCATTTGATGCGAATATTTATTTTCAGTGTTTGTCAAGAGCTCTAAGGGATGAAAACCCAAAACTGCTGATGGCCGCATCTGCATTGTGCTTACCCATTCAGCCATTGATGGTTTCAGCTGTTCATACTGGGATGATGGAGGTTGCATTTGCAAGAAGAGCTGTTAAAGATCCAGAGCTTAAAGTGGTGCACAATGTTCACAAGTTGTCAGCACTGTTGGGTGGCGCGTTTTTTGTGGCCGATGATCTGTTCCCAGAAATCCCATATCTTCATGCCGGTTGGCATCTAGCTGCTGCAATAGGTGTTGGCGCTTGTAACAAGCTTCTAGAGTAGCACCACAATCCAAATTCGTCGAAATACCCAACTGTTTCCTTCTATTTTCAGAGGTTTTCAACACTTACAGGTGTGGCCAAAACCCGACCCGTCATTGAGTACAGATTTAGACTATTTGTCAATGTGCTACTTTGGTTTGATCAGATTCAGATCATGTATGCAAGTAAATGCAGGATCATTATTATGTTATTAAATGGAAATTGTCCAAAATAGCCGATCTATTCCCCCCCCCCTCCCTTTACACTTTATCGCCCGTTTTCAACTTATTAACTGAAGTTTACGCAAATAGCACTTTCACAACTTGTGTATCCCACTTTTTCAATATAATATTCAGAAAAAATAGACATGTGTAAGTGCTACTTGACGAGTGTGTGCCACATAGGTAAACCAGTTACAGTAAGACCCATAGAAACACATGTTTCACAAAACCATTCTGAGCTGCCAATTGGAAGACAAAAAACAACCAAATGCAAAAATTAATCATCTGAAACCAACCACCAACTCTTCCATTTATCAGACTAAATGATTGAATAGTAACAAAATCTACACAACCCAAGAAGGAAAAACTGTATGTAACAAAATCTATCACAATTTTTTAACATACAAAGATTCTATGGAACCAAATCTGTATACAAATACAACATGTTCCTATCAACTCAATTCTCACATGTAATCAACTCTAATGTACAAAACTACCAACATTCAAAAGACAGCTTCCTTGCAACTTGTTAGATACAGCAGCTGCATGAAGGTATAGAACTCCATCAAAACAATTGTGTCCTCCTTCAATCATGTACAAATTCTGCTACACCAGAAAAGAATCCTTCCATCTCTTCTAACCAGTATATTGTCCCAAATGCCAATCATGTAAGCCCTCTTTCCCGAGTGGAAGAGGAACAAAAAACAAAATAATTTCAATCAAAAAAAGAGGTTAGTGAACCCTTTCAGGTTAACTTGAGAATCATGGTGCGGCTGGTGTTTTTGAATCTTCTGTTCTGTTTGTATGGCACATGCAGTTTGGACACGGGAATGAATATACAGAGTCGTTTGGCCTTTTCAATTCGACTCCCTTTGAATCACTATGAGCTCGCATACCTAACATGTGCCTTTTGAATGTTCTCCAACTGAAAATTCCAGGGGAGACATATTAATAAAAGCAGGAAAGATTCTTACAATGAACTAACTGAATCATGCTATGAAACTAAGAAGAATGCATATATCATACAATGGTCACTCTCTTTTCAAACCATCATATACTTGCCTCTTCATGACAAACCATTAAAAGTGCTTGTGCTTGCAAACTATAGCATTTCACAAGAAAGATAGTCCATTTGCATGATAGCATTGATTTTTTCTCCACAAGATTCTTCTATTTTCTCATTGTAGAGGGATATTTTAGATCTCTAGGTAGTAGTCAGACACTTTGATTAAACTATATGTCCGATAAAACATTGAATTTATCCTGTTAACACTTTAAACTCAAACAAGTAAGAAATAGCCTGTAACCCATTTTATTGAAGGATTAACTTCCAAAAGTTGGAAGAACATACAACCCAACTGATGTCTCAATCCCATTTTTTTTCTTTGCCCTACGTCATAAAGACGCCAAGATCTATATGGTACCATGGGTTTATTCACCCTTGACATGGTTCAAATATGTTCTGTAATGAACGATAGCAACATCGGTTCTTATTCTAAAAGTCTTAGTCAACAGAGGGTTTCATTTGTGTTCGATGACCTACGTCAACCATTAAACATGACAGAAATCTTTATACTTGATCTTTTACAAGCATACATCCACAAATGCACTCGTTAGTGAACCCGCATGCATATTCCCAAATTGCAGTAAAGAAATGTGGATGTAGGTAGCATACCCGATATTTGGATTGTCAAAATACAATGCTAACTTGCGCTTGTCAGGTCTGATTGTCTTGGCATGTCCGCTGAACAGATATCTTCTGTGCCCAAGCAGAAAATGTGGGAAGTTTCCACCCTGAGTTGTCACAAATACTTCACTATGGAGACAGACGGTGTAGTCTATAGCAGCCATCCTGGAAGAATAGTTCTAGAAAGAGTGAACTGAGTCAGCTTGAATTATCTGAATTGCAAGGTAGAAGTTGCAATGGAGGCAAGAAAGACATTAAAACCTTATATGGTGCAAGTTCCTCAGCAGATGCCAGCATCTCCTTGGTTTGTAAAAGAGGAAACATTTCTAGCAGGGGAGCCATATATCTCTCAGAATCATATATTTCTCCAGATGCTAGAAAGATGGATGTACTTCTATCAAATCCCATTCCTCTAAGCATCAAGCCAACCTGAATAATTTCCAATGAATAAAAGAGAGCAGGAAAGAAAAGAAGGGAATAAGTGGGCATATTGTATAAATCGATGAAATAAAAACAAGGTCATCTGTCAGTTCTCTCAATACATAACAGACAGATAAATCAAGTTAGGCCTGTATGAGGATGTTAATTGATACAAATCTGGACATATTCATATTAAGGTAATTATTGTTAATTTACTATGCACATATCATATAAAGTATCTATCATTTGAATTCAAATAATTAGGAAAGGGATTTGAATTCAAATTCGAAATAGTAATGAGACTAATATTTAATGGAAACAAGTATAAAGTATATTTAACTACACATCCAATAAATGTCCAATGAACAGAAAATTGAATTTACCAAATATGGATATTTTACCTATTATTGCATTTGCAATTACACAGTAAGGGGACCAGATTTGTCACCGTTTACAGGCCGGTTTCACACGATTGGACCTTTAAGGCTATGTTTGGCAAACTAGCCGATAAGCTAGCTGGTAGCCGATTAGCTAGCTGATGAATAAATCATGTTTAGCAAAAACTAGCTGATAAGCATATAAAATGACCAAAAAGGACATCTTGAAAAATTAGTCAATTTTGTGTTGATATAATTATATATATTTTATAATATAATTAAAACAAACATTTAATAATATAATATATTAATACAAACAAGATAGTAAAGAAAAATTAAAATAATATAATGTGTTAAWWRAAGAATTTTAAATTGATTATTCTATATATTATAAGTTTGGATTTTAGATAAAAATCCACATTAATTTATGATTTTAAATAGCCATGATATATAATATGAATAAAAATAAAATTGGTCAACCTCACATACCCTAATTAATTAGTAATTTTTCAAAAACTATAATTAATAATTGAATTAAATATTTCATTAAAATCAATTAACACAATTTTATTATCTATGAAACAAAATAAGTATAACTTTAATTTTTATGTAACTTACATAAATATTATTAAAATTTTAAATTTTTATATTTATTTTTTGATAACTAAATATATAGAATAATAATTAAAAATAATTGATATGATTAATAATAATTCTAAATMATTAATATTAATGTATAATTAAAATTAATTAATAATTTTCAACTAGTATCTATTAATATTAGTAATAATTAATTTTTTTTTCTATTTATTAATAACTAATATTTATTAATATTTATTTATAATAATAGTAATAAATTTTAATATTAATGAAGGTTAAAATTGGAAAAGATGACAAAAAGCTACTCATAAGCTACTCCAACAAGCGTTTCAATAAGCTAGCTTATAAGTTAGTTTTATTTCCATCCAAACATGTACCCAAAAAATAAGTTATTTATTTTTGCCAAACAATGCCTAAGTAGCTGGAGGTCCAACCCATACAAATTATAAATGGAACCATCGTGAAAAAATTACACAAGTCATGGGGCTTGATGGACACGTATAGCATGCAATGTAGTTTATCCAAGCCTCGACACCTATGGTATCCACTACCCATTTGAACCTTTCTTCCCAACCACCCTCCATATTGATCCTGGACTAACCCTCCATATTGATCCTGGACTAACCCTATATTTCCAAACACCTTCAATGGGTGACTACCCCAACCTCTCCTACAAAATAATCTCCAACCTTTCATTATCATCATCTTATGTACGTGTTTCCTTTAAGTTGCCTAACATTTGGCACCACAATGCATAGCAGAACTTACTGCCATCATGTAAATTTTACCCAACTTCTTCAGAATCCTAAAATTACACAAGGATCCCTATGTCTCCCACCACATCATCCACCCTATTATTATTTTATTGCTTAACACCCTCTCAACCTGTCTTCTGTTCATTTAACTTTTTAGTCGGACTTTATCTAAAACAATAAATTTCCAAAGAAACCCACAACCATATTAGTTTTACATTAATGACTGATTAAGTAAATACCATAAGCAAAAAGCATATATCATGGTATATATTGATGAATGCTTTTTGTGAGCTCACAATCTACTATATATTGCTTTGAACAGTAGCAGGCACACATATAGTAGCTAACAGCCGGCAAAAACATAGCCATGCATCAATATTGATAGTTAAAAGCAATTTTAGGAGTGCAAAACAAGTCCAGGTCAAAAACACTTGAATAAACAGTAATAATCTTGGTTCCCTAGCTTTCATTTTCTCCCGATAAAATTCATTATTATAAATGCATGGAAGCAAAAGATATTACCTCTAAAGGTGTGAGGGGACATTTCCCATTAATCCTATTGACTCCAGGCTGAAGGACTCTACCAGGCTTTGTAAATTTTCCTTTCCAACCCCTTTCCCTTGCAGCAACCATGTCTTCAAGCTCTCGCCTTCCACCATCATATACACAGCAAGAGAAAGCAACCATGTCCTGGACAAGCACGTGAAACAATATTTGCCTCAAGATTTCAGTACCTCTTACTTTCCATATGCAAAGTACACTGTAATGTACTCAACCTTATTAATTAAGAAAGTAAATAAACTACAACATTTCATCAGTAGAACAGACCTCCTCAAACCTTAGATGCACAGAAATGTACTTGCCACCATTATTTGCACTGCGATCTTTCATTCTAGCAACTAATGTTTCACCTATACTCAGTATAGGATTTGAAAATCGTAAAGCTTCATAATTTGCCAAGCAACGAAGCCGTTGAACCGCAGGAGGAGCATCAAATGATAATCGATTTGCAAACGGAGAAATCCTAATGACCCTGAAAATAATTCAAATATAGTAGATACACCAACTCAGTATATTTTAGAGATTTCACACCTAGCTCCATAGAGACAAGTAAGCAAAATGAAGATGGCAGCAAGTTACCTAATAAATAATTCCAAAAAATACTTGAAACATCTCAACAAAGCCCTTATCCCAATTTAATTGGTAGGCTAAGATGGAAACCCGTATGAGATCATAAGATGGTGACAACCCTGGATGAAGGCGGAGCAAGTTCTGTATTCTTCCACACTCTCCTATAACCTCCATTTCATAGTTATATTCTGAACAATTAGAATCCGATTTTACTATTTCAATGCCCAAACCAGGTTAGTTAATATTGCTGCCACCAAGCATAGTGTGTAATTAGCATGCACTGTTGGATTTTCCATTCACTGAAGAGATCATAAGTGCGACCAAGAAAACTAAGAGCTTAATTATGTGCATCATTCTTGCAAGGAATATCTGATGCAAGAAAAACGGCGCTACAACTGTACCAAAATCTTATTCAACGAATTTACATAAATGATTAGCCCACAGCTATTCTCCTTCATCCGATATGAGGGTTAGAATAAAACTACGACATTCCCAATCTATAAGAAGGATTCAACTGCGGACCAAAAGGTTGTTTTTACAAAGCGCTAGGCTTAGCTTAGACTTCCCTTCTCTAAGCAATCAATACCTTTCCCGGATAAGAATAACAAGACTCAACCCCTAACTGTCAAGATTCAATCAGATGAAGAGGATATCATGAATGACGGAGGTGCACTTCATCAACTATAAATTGGCATTACCACAGATACAAGATTATAAGTGTACCTGGTAACCTCTGTATGCCATGCAATATAACCATATAGCTCAAATGTCCGATAGGTAAACATAAACCACTAAAAGTTTGTGTGGCAAAACGCTGTGTGAACCGAATGTTTCATTAATGACTAATATGGGAAGCAGGGTCAAAGGAATCATCCTTACACGTTTGGTTTCTAATTATTACAAGAAATCAGTTACCATAAATTCACATTAGATAACAAACAATGTAATGACTATGAAGTTACTCACTTTTCTTCTAGTAGCCTTGGAAGAACTGTACCCCTGTAGTACCCAATAGGTGCCCAGGCTTTTATTTTGAAGTTGAATACATTGGACATATTGCGGTCAAACCGTTCCATCAAATATCCAGGTATAGTGTTGACCACCCGTACATCATTTTCCAAGGCTTTAACAAAAAATTCTTCATCGTATATGTCACTGAACTTGCTGCAACAGCAAAGCACATGGTCAAAGAATTGTAGACAAAAGGAAATAATACTTTCCTATTGTTTATTTACCAAAGAAAAATGCCAATTGTACCCTTGAATAGACTTATAAATTGCAAAAACCACACTGGTTGGTGATTAGTAGTATGCAATGCATGTCTCACATTCATGCGATTTGTTAAAGTGATAAAGAACCACATCCTGGTTTTTCATATTATCATGCTAAATAATAACAATCACACAACATAAATATTAATCTCCATGTAATTTTTCAACTCTGGTGCTTCACAAAATTAAAAATCAGGAAAGGTGTTGCTTGAACGAAACATGATCAGTTTTGAGCAGGTTACTCGATGCTCCTTCACAAGGTAAACTCACCTGATCCCATTAATATGTAGGTGTCCGATGTCTCTCACTAGAAAGTAGAAACATGTATTTGAATTGTGTGAGCATATAAGATGATAGGGGAGGTGTGTGGCTGAAACAACACGTTGATTGAAATATAAAAGCACTGGATCCAAGATAACCATCTACAGCCTAAGCCAAGGATTACCCATGAAGCATTTTACAAGAGTTCCTAATATTTTTATCAAGTCTCTGTTTAATCGCATAAGTTGCCACAACCAAACAGGTAGCATGTCAGAGCTACTTAAATGAACTCCCCATTCATAAAAGAAGAGTAAAGTACTCAACTTGTCCTCAGGCTATATATCAACCGACATGTTGGGTCATTTAACTTCCAATTTTTCCTGTTTGGTCCACAAAACCCAAATTAACTTAACATGTTTGGTCCAAGTGATGGACCTGTCAAATAAAATCTGTTCAAGTTAACAAGAAAAGGGATCTATCAATTAAACACATAAAAATGAAAAGAAAACTGGAGCAAAAACAATAAAAAGAAAACCAAGTCCTCAAGACCCTCTTTTTACAGCGATCCCCACCTTCTACGGCACATTCCACAGGGGAGCAGTAGCCAGCCCCATCCCCAGCAGCACCACTACCCCCTGCCTTCCTCCCTTCCTTTCACTTCAACTTCCCTCCCTTTTATTTGGTTTCTTCCTCCGTTTCGCATTATTTTCATAGATTAACGCTTATGGAAGTTTCTATATGTGAAGCATTAATCCTTAAGAAAATGAAAACCAAAATACAATCATAAATGGTAATGGATGGAGAAAAGAGCTTAAACTTTCAATTAAAATTCTCATTGAAGCAAATAAATTGAAATTGTAAATTGAGAAAACTAATTTCGTCTTCATTCTCCCCAAATTCCTCCTCCTTAACTGCTGTTTTGTTTCATAATTTTTAATTATTCTTTACCTCCGAATTAACTTGTATTTTGTGATGCATGATCTTTTTTCATCCTACAGAATTTCAATAATTTATTGAGGATGAAGATGAAGAGGACGAAGGAGAAACACGACGAAGATGGTGAAGGTGAAGGTGAATGTGAAGAATATAGTAACGACCAAATTGCCTCAAAAAGTGTCACATGGATTGCATTTGATTCTTCTAATGGTACAAAAGTAGCACTGTATCAGAATAAACATGCTAGTAATTTGGGCTTGTTTGCACCAAAATTGCAAAATTCAATGTCAAATGACTAAACTTGTCAGTTGATATAGTCCAAGGACATTTTTTGTATTTTAAACAAAAAAGAATATAACGTACACAAACCTAGGATCTCTCCAAATGCTATGGAAATGAAAATTAGGAATGACTAGTGTTGCATTAAGATAGCCCGCCACAGCAACTGCATTGCAGATCTAAAAAGAGAAAACATAATAGCAACATCAGGTTGTTGCAAAGGAGGGCAATATAATATGTATTTATCATGTTAAATAGGAAATCAGATGCAATGGTAGCATCTGAATTACCGATGTTCTCTGCTGATTCAAGCCTCCATTTGCTTCAACATATATATACCCATTGGACTCTGGTAAGCCTACAGCAATTGTAATGGATGAATTTATACAATGAAAGGATTCTAAGTAAACTAAAGAGAAAGGAACTGACAGCAAGAACTCTCCGATAATGGAACAACATGCATTCAAAGACAGCAATATGAAGTTTGAATGTGACAAACAAGTCCTAGACCAAAAATCTTGATAGCAGAATACAGGATTTGAAACATATGCATGAACACAACCAAATAGGAAAAAAATGATAACGAAAGATAATAAAACCAAATGTTCAAATACCACTATAAATGGTTGCATTTAAGGGATGCCTTTGATGGGATAACTAGGATGGATAATGCTGAGGCACACTAGAGAAAAAAGAAACAATAATGCACCAAGATGGCATAATATACAGAGGCAGATAGGAGAACCCAACTCCTTTGAAATAAACAAAGTTAAAAGAAGTCCTATGTAGAAGGCCAGGTCATATCAATTCCCAGTAACATAAGGCCTATGCAGTTTAGAAGTCTTTAAAAAGGTAAAGAACAGCATATACCGAGGCCAAGGAAGCATCAATACGAGCTGTCCTGTGCATGAAGGATAGTTTTCATACCTCCTGAAGACTTGTTTATACAAGGCCTCCAATCTCCAACTTTAGCACGTTTCCATACGGTTGACATCTACATTAAAATTCAATGTTATAAATCACAATGCAGAGAGGATGAAAAATTTAAGTAATCAAAATCAAATATGTTGGTCAAAAACAAATAAATAACCACTAAAAAAATTGGATGTTATCATAACTTCTTTGAAACTAGTCAATACTACATTAGAAGTATTAGAAAGATAATTAATTAGCTTACTGTTAAGGCCTATTTGTTAACAGCTTAATGAGACTCGCATCTTATTCGGTCAACTATACATGACTTTTTGGTAGTGGCTTAATGATATAAAAAGTGGCTTATTCGGTAAGGTTATGGGGGGAGCTTTATGCAGAAATCCAAGTTTTTCCAAACCTGCCCCTCCCAATTAAAAAACACAGCTCCTTCCTTCCATCTATGATATAAAAAGTTTATCCATACAGGACTTAATTGAAAACCAACCAAACAGCCCCGGCCAAGCTCCTTTTGTTTGTATGTGTGTTGGGTAGGGCCCGTAGGGGCAGGGTGGGAGTGTTGAGGAGAAGAGAGGACGAGAGGAAGAAAAGAATAAGTACAAGAGCCATGAAAAAACTACATAACCTAGAAAAGATCAAAAGATATATCACATCTAGGAAGAGAAGCTAACCACAAAAAGAAAAGGTCCACATCTATGAAGCACTTATACTTGAGTTTGTGTAAGACATACACTGGGTTAGAATATGGTGCGGTTGTGGCTTGGGTGCATACACGCTTTGCAGGCACCAATTTACTAAAATTATAAAAACAAAAAATAAGTCACCACGATAAAGAGGATGTGGGATGGTTTCAGATGAAATTCCTTTTTTGTGAAGGGATTCAACTCACTTTTTGTCTTCTTTCATTCTTGTTCAAACTATTCCTATACTACCAAGTCCACATGGCACTTCAAATACTTGGGCATCCATATTACAAAAACATAAAATATATACAATCGGACTGTCAAAAGGATTACGATTTTTGATGTTCTTCTCTTTCTCCACTCCACGTCTTCGTTTTCTTATTCATACTCATCTGTTCTACTTGTTTTTCTTGTTAAGTTTTCTCTCATTATTTCTAAGGTAATTGTTTATATGTGCTTAGGATATGCCATCCCAACATAATTCAATCAAGTACTTTGAATACCTATTTAGGTACGGATACTTCGATGATGCTTGTTCTCTTAAGTTATTTATCTATTTTAGTTCAAAAAATATCTATATGCATGGTTTAAAAAAGGCGGCCCAAAATAGCACCTGAGGCAGCGCCTCTCAATCCCCATATGAGACTTACGCCTCGGTTGTAATGAGGCAGTGACCGAGGTGGTGAGGGGATGGAGAGGCGTACACCTCACTACAGAGGCTAAATTATTAAAAGTGACTGAAACCTTCTCGATTTCTTTTTCGAAAACCTTGTTCCTCTTTGGTTCTCCTAAGCCCTATCTGCAACTCATTTGTTGTCCTTCGTGAGTTCTGTTTTTTCTTGGATTTTTCTCCAATCTCCAGTTCACCAGAATATTATGCATGTGTATATACTGGATACACTTCTTATATATTTTGTCTCTACTACGTGTCAGTCACAGTCACACTTCTACTCCCACTTTCTTGATACTTTTTTATTTTTTTCTTTATGAGCTGTGAGCATATTGATATATGCACACACACACACACACACACACATATATATATATATATATATATTAATAGATCAATATTTTTTCTTGGTACTATATCTATGTTTCATGATGAAAGAAGTGTTGTAGATTCTTTTAGTATTTTAGTATAATATATACTGTGTCTAGTACTCCAGTTTCTGTGTATATATATTGCATATATATTTTTTGTATAAGCAGTGGCATGCAGATTGGTGTGTGTGTGTGTGTGTATATATATATATATATTTCCGCCTCAGGGCTTACGCCTCGGACCGCCTCGAGGCTTACGCCTCGCCTCGTTGAAGAAAAAACGCCTTGAGGCCTGATTCCGCTTTTTAAAACCTTGTCTATATGTATCTACATACGTCAGCGGCAGCCAGATTTTGGTACTTTTAAGATCCTGAACTGATAGAGAAAGAGCTATCGATCCATTATCAGTTGATCAATCCACTGGGCCATCTTCATTGATCAGCCCACTTAAGCCAGACCTTGGAAAGTCTACAACAGTAGGAGGATCAGGGGACAGTTGTAAGGTGGTTATGCATACTCCAGGTAGAATGAGAGACTATATATAATAAGGCTAGGGAGAATAAGTGGGGGTATGTGAGAGAATGCTATTTTTCAGTTGAGGTCGTTCGGCTGTAGTAGCTTGAGCAGAAGGGTTGATCATTACTGATCACTCTTGTGATATTGTTCTTCATCATTTAAATACTAATCATTAGCCTATTTCCATACTCTTGATTTATTTGTGTTGATTTCTTCATCTGGATTCTATCAATTTGGTTCCATTGCCACCTTGCCTGTAAAGCATGGTGGTTCCAGAAGCTTCGATGACTACCCGGTTGTAGACAAGAGTGGATGCTAAGGATGAAAGAATCGAATCCCTCTCTAATCAAGTGAAAGACTTGTCCATATCGATCAATTCCATGAAGGAAATCCTTAATGAGCTGACAAAATATATCGAGAAGCTAACGATGGGTTGCCAGAAGTATCAAGGTAAACGATCCGATTACGATGAGGAAACTGATGGATCGTCGTTTAAAGAATTAACAGTGACCGGAGATAGTGGTTCCAGCGGGTGAAATCCTAATAAGGGTCTAGATTCCTTCATCAAGAACAATCGTTTCAAGACCTCCATCTTCTCGATCCCGAAGGTGAAGCTTCCATTATTTGAAGGGATTGATCCCAGAGGATGGATCACCAAAGTAGACCTCTATTTCCAGGTTCATCACTCCTCCTCCCCAGAAACTTAAACTTACTAGAATGTGTATGGATGGCTCTGCCCTTAATTGGTTTACTAATCTTCTAATCAAACACCCACACACCACTTGGGATCAATTTGGGACAAATTGACTATCCGATTTGGTGGAACTATATTCCACAATGCACGTGAAGCAACGGGATCCTTGTATCAAGAAGAGGCTAACAATGAATATATCGAGAATTTTAAAGCTCTCTCAGCCCTTATTCCAGATCAGTCGAAGGCTCAATCCACAGGGATGTTCCTCCGTGGCCTCCAAAGTGATATTGAGAATTGGGTTAAGGCTCTCAATCACCTACTTGTGATCTATGCTGTTAAAATCGCGATATATCGGCGATATATCGGATATCGGACTCTGGTGAAATATCGGTTCCGATAATATCGCCGATATTTCACCGATATTTTGATGGAAAAATCGGTCCGATATACCGATTTTCTATAAGACAAATGTTTGGGCTTTTTTTTATTACATGTCGGGCTTAGTTTTTTGGGCCTCTTTATTTGGTCAACCAGTCAACACATATTAAGTCTCATGCTTCTTCTCTTCTCGGTTTTTTCACAATTCACGCTTATTGTTTGCGATTAGCTCGTTTTTGAACACTTTTCCTATTTTGTTTTGTGAGACTTGTTTATGTGATGTTTTGGTTTTGAAACTATATTTCTAAACTCTAATTAATGCATATGATATGTTTATGGATGCATACATATAATATATATATATATATGTATAATTCTAAGAAATATTATATTAACCGCTATTTGGACCGATATATCTTCGATATATCATCGATATAACCGAAATATCGAATATCGGTCCTGGCCGATATTTTGTATTTTGACCACAGTAACAGCATAGCTTGTGATCAAGCGATGGATCTAGCCCGTCACGTAGCCATAGCAACTGCCATCCATGGAGATAAAACAAATCATAAAGGAAAGACATCATTCAAATTTGGGGCCATTGACTATCCAGGGCTATTCTTGGAAGTATGGTCAAGGTGATAAACCCACTACGTCAAATCCTCCGCATTACCAAACTAGTCGGTCCAATAACTAGGCCGACCAAGCCCAACCTAAAACACTCGAAACCACTTAACATATATCATGTATCTACCAATACCACACCATTTAAAATCGTCTATGGCAGACCTCCCCCAACGGTCTTGCATTTCATTCCGAGAGATTCATTGTGAGGTCGTGGTTCGTAATCTATCATCTATCTGACCGAGAGAAGCCCTTAAGCAACTCAAGTACCATCTCACTCGGGACCAAATTCAAATGAAGTCTACGGCTCACAAACACCATCGGGATGTAAAATTTTCCATGGGAGATTGGGTGTTCCTCAAACTTCGCCCCCATCAGCAGCAGCAATCCGTGGTAAGACGGATTAACCAGAAACTTTCGGCTCGTTACTATGACACGTTTCTAATTATCGCGAGGTTGGATCTGTTGCCCATAAACTGCAACTTCTTGCCTCTGCCAAAATTCATCCGGTGTTCCACGTATTCCTCCTCAAACGTGTCATTGGGAATCATACGGCTGAAGTTTCCCTCCCTCCGGGTCTGGAAATGGATTCCTCTACTCCTGTTCACCCCCTCAAATGCTTTTCCACTCATACGATTTCCAAGCACGGTAGACTCAACAATGGCTAACTCAGTGGGAAGATACATATAGATGAAACTACTTGGGAGGATGCCTATACGATCCAGACTCAGTTCCCAGATTTCCAACTTAAGGACAAGCCTGTTATTCAAGACGGTGGCATTGATAGAGAAAGAGCTATTGATCCATTATCGGTTGATCAATCCACTGGGTCGTCCTTCATTGATCAGCCCACTTAAGCCAGGCCTTGGAAAGTCCACCACCGTAAGAGGATTAGGGGACAGGTGTAAGGTGGGGATTGACAAAGTGGCTATGCATACTCCTGGTAGAGTGAGAGACTATATATAATAAGGCTAGGGAGAATAAGCAGGGTATGTGCGAGAATGCCATTTTTCTGTTGAGGTCGTTCGGCTGTAGGAGCTTGGGCAGAAGGGTTGATCATTACTGATCACTCTTGTGATTTTGTTCTTCATCATTTGAATACTAATCATTCGCCTATTTCCATACTCTTCTTGACTTATTTGTTTTGATTTCTTCATCTAGATTCTATCATGAACCATGCACCACTATTATGCTTTCTATCCCAACAAAAATCAAATGAATTAAACCCAATTTATCAACAAAAAAATCCATGCAGGCTGGATTGCAAAGTTAAAATGTCGTCATTTTGCTTTTTAATAAGCACAGCAATTATGTAAGATGTTACAACAGCAGATGAGTTAATATGTGTTTGACTACATAAAAGCACCAAAAAAGATATATTGACAAGTATTGCATCTTTTCGCTTTAAAATCAATAACTTAATATGAGAAGGTAAAGTCCATCACATTCACACGTCCCCAAAACGTTGTTAAATCATACGCACATTACTTTTGTTAATCTCGTAATTTATGTAGTTAAGCAGATATGAAGAATATCATTTGACATAAAATGTACAACTTAAGTCAATTACGTATCAACAAATTTCTAGAAGACAGCCATATGAACCATCCTCGTCCCTATAGTGTTCACCTAATATAGGAATACCCTTTCTCTATATCGTGGTTCACGTCTAACTTTCCCTTACCTCTGATAATACCATGAATGTAAACATCTAGACGATAATGAGGCACGACTCTTCGGAATGCAACACAAAGCATCAGATACATTCTTCTGTCATCTCAAGACAAACTCCACAGATGCTACTCCACTTGTATAATAAAGAATATGTACTAATACTATCTAAAGCTCTGTACATGATTACTAGTGGTGAATTACGATGACAAATGACATGTTTCATGCTTATCAGCAACTACACACGTTTTGGCATGCAGAATCAATTTTAAAAACAGTCAAGTTGCCAGCATTACTCAACGGGCCAATATCTCCATAGAGTATTGAGCTTCAAATATTATTTTCACATTTGGATTTCTCATATTACAGCATCAATAGTGAAGCTGTAACCTATGCTTTTCAACAGCTATTTTTTGTCTTCAATGCTATATTTTCTAATGTGCTCACTGTATGAAAAAATTACTTAAGAGCAGGTCTCCTAACAGCCTTTTGCAGGCAAAGATAGAACAATAGCATAATACCAGCAATAAAAATGTCTTCATTCAGCAATTTCAGAATAAAAGATTGAACTCACATAGCCGCTTTGCATTAAACAAGCCCTGGCTTGGTTTCATAGCATCTTCAATCCCCACCAATTTAAAAAATCTCAGGGGAGAATGAGACCTAGGACTTCAATGTACAAATTCATCATGAAAATGCAGTAAAATTGATACTAATGAACTCACAAATAGATCTAGCAACACCAGCCTATATAAACTCATCATATCTCTAACCTCTGGCTATCAATTCATGCTCAATTCATCAAATTCTAGCTTCCTTTAGTCAACTTAACTTGCAATTTCTTCACAACATTACAAAAAAACCAAGTAAACTGTTCAATTGGCACCAAGCCTACTACATTCACTATTATGTTTGCTCTTAAACACTAAACCATTAAGTTAAATTAAGTAAAGCATCAAGAAAAATAGTATATCCAAATTGGAACATGATATTAACAAAAGAGGGATCAAAATTACATTAGGGCAAACTTTCCAAATCACTAACCGCATCAGCAGTCGAATTATCAGCATCCATCTCGTGCCGTAGCTTAGCATAGAGCTCCGGACTCCGGTATACTGACCCAATGGCCATGGAAGGTTTGTTTACATAGGCAACAGCGTCGAATTGTACAGTCCCCAAGAGCATGCTGGAAATGTATAGAAGAGGTGCGAAGAGGAAGACACCCTGGCGGCGGACGAGGAGGGATAGAATGATCCAAGCAAAACGTTGGAGGAAAGAACGGTGTGCAAATCGGGCAGAGGGTTTGGAGGAGCGAGCGTGACGGGGACGAGGGGAGCGGAGAGGGGAGGCAGGGGGTGAAGGGCTATTGTTTCCGCTGGTGGGAAGCCGATTTTTAGCGTGCATTTCTTGGTGGATCAATCACATGTTAGGGTGGGGAATCCAAATCAACGACTTTCCCCCTCGCCCTTCTATGCTGAAGATAGATATATCTATATATATGTATATGTATGTATATATATATATATATATATACACAGTGTGAAGAAGATAGAGATGTGTGTATGAATCAAAGAATGTAATATGTGTGTATCATTGTGTGAAATTGTGAAGAATGAAGATGAAGAAGAAAGGCACTGTGTGTTTGTGTTTGTGTTTGTGTGTGTGTGTGTTGTAAATCACGTGCGGGTGAAGGAGGGGGTTGATGATTGATGATGGCGACGCGTGCGAACGTGGGTGGGAAGGTTACCGGGAATGGGAGGTGTACAAAAATATAAAATCGGACTCTGTTTGATCCGGATCTTAAGCGGATCGGATAGTTTAGAATGTCGAATTTCTATATATGTTATTATTTTTATAAGACTAATGTTATTTAATAATCTTATCGACGGAGCATAACAAGAACTGATAATTTATCTGGTAAGAGGTATAATAAAAAGCAAATGATCGATAATCTTGCATGGTAAATAATGGATGAGACTCTTACACAGTATGCATTTATAAATAAAATATGTTTTCCAACAATCCATTTTTTCATTATATAAAAAATAAACACACTTTCTTCTCTAATTCTCATTCCCTACCCTCTTATAACCCCTAGCCAAGCACATCCCCTCAAGTTTGTTTGATGAATTTAAAAAAATTATTTGTATTAATATTATCTCTGTAAATTCGTTAAAAGATGATTTGTAAACTTACTGAAAATTTTATATAAAAAGAGGAAAAAATAAAAACTAATTAATGATAACAATAATATATGGATTTCTTTTCAAAATAAAACAGAAAAATAATATTTTTTTAATGTCATCATCATTTCTATTTGTAGACCAAAAACTTAATTATTTAAAACGATATGAGTGTGGTTTATGTCAACAATTATGATAATGAAGACAATGGATATCATTATTAAAGCGACTTATTTCTTTTGAATATTAATTAAAAAGCTACTTGATTTTAGTAACTTGTTCTTTTCAAACATGAATTATTGGTTTTATTAAAATTAAAAAAAAAATACATAAATAATAAAGTAAATTGTTTTTTATGGTTTATGTGATTCTCAGTCACTATCAAGTATAATCTCTAATTTAAACTAATTATACTTTTGATCATTATGGTTATCACTTTGTTTCATTTTTTGTCCCTAACGATAACGGTTCTAACGAAACCCGTCAATTCAAGAACATTTTGCTATTTTCTGATTTATTTAATTTTATATTAGAAAATAAACAAAAAAATATTATTATATTACGTATATCCACCCCTTTTCTTCTCTAACTATAAACCTCGTCGTCCACTATAGGTCTGTTGATTTCGTCATCTGCTCATTCCCTTCTTCGACCCTTCTACAACTTCAACCTCCTCTCTAGATTTGGGTTCTTTAATAGTCAAACAACATTTTCAACACTCTTTTCTCCTATGTTAAAGTAACGTTAGAAGGAGGGTACCCGGTGCCTATTACTTATTCACAATGGTTAAGTTGGAGGGTATCCATGTGCAATTGGGTGGGCAACCCATATCTGGCTTGAATAAAATGATACGCTGATTATCAAGAATCAATGATTCAATAGACTATGTTGTTTTAGATGATCGAACATTTATATTCAAATTTATAAAGTTTGATTTTATATTAACCGTAACATATTTTTTTTAACAATTTTGATTAATTTAAGATATGTTGATTTGCTAGTAATTTGCTTATTTTATTATTTAAATTTTTAAATTTGAAAACTAATTGAAGCATTAAAATTGCTAATTGTTTATTACTAACAACTTATGTTTTAAAATTTAAATAATTAAATTTGTAGTATTGTATAAAGATAAAGGGTATAGTTTTAATAATAACAATTAAAACGAATAATTTTAATAATAATATATTTGTTACGAATAAATAGAATTTAATGGTAGTAATAATAATATATTTTTAGTATAATATATATATATATATATATATAATACCTATTTAAAGAAAATATAAAATATAAAAATTATCGAACAAGGATTACAAGTAAATTAAATAAAAAATAATTAATAATGATTAAGTAATTATTACATATGGATAATAGATAGGTGTCTTATTTAGAGGGATGTTTAAATAAAATCATCCAAATTTATTTATAATTTATTGGTAGTTTGGTTTATGGAGTTTTCTTCATAAATTATTGGAAAAAGAAAACTCATAATTTTGTCGAAGTGATGAAAAGAACTGACAGTTTTTAATAATAGGACAATTATTGGGTAACTTGCAATAATAGTTGAAAATGATGTTAATGAAATTATATAATTAATTTATTATTATTATTATATTCATGAAAAATGATGATTTTTTCATTTTAAAAATTAAAATAAGGTAATGATATCATAAACATATGCTAATTTTAAAAATGTGTGTAAGGTCATAATTCACATCAGATATGATGTTATGCTTTTTCCTAATAAAATCTAATGACTCATGGCATGATCTTGTATCTATGGGATACCTTTTGGCACTTATCATAATCAAATCAATCATCAATTTCTAAACTTTTATGTTTTTATTGTTAAAAGAAAACAAACTATTATAACAAATACAATTGATGTCTATTTGAATTATAAAGATGGTGTTTGATTAGTTTAAGCTTGGTTAGAAGTGTCAGAAGATCTCAGGTTCAAATTCAAGGAGGAATAAAAATTCCTTTGTGACAACGGAAGTTCAAATGCGGTGACTCCGAGTTAACCGTAAAACAGATGGTTATCCTGAAATTAATTGGCCGCTAAATCTGCACAATTTTCCCTTCATGTATGGTTTTACCTGATGCAATGGAAGGGCCGACAGCATAGCGGGTAAGGGATTTTGCTTTGAGAGAAGATATTTTGTATATCTCTCAATCGAAATTCACTGTGCTACCTTGTTTAATACCAATAAGTAACATTCTTTCATACTTCAAAAACATTTAGAAGTATGTAAGGACACCAACTAGATGCTCAAATTCAAAATTTTAGAAATATTCCAACTTTATAATTATTAAAACTACTAATAACAAGTGTACTTTTAAAAATATATGTTTTTGATTTATTATTTTTAACCATTTCCATAATTTTTATTTTACCTCTTATATGTTTTTGATTTATTATTTTTAACCATTTCATATTACTCTCCTCAATTTTCTATTTTCTATTTTATGCCTTAATCATATTAATTAACTAATAATTTATGAACTCAAATACTTATTTTTAATATCCAAAGATATTATAAAACAACCTTTACGATTATTATTTTAATAATTACATAATTTTGATAAAATTTTAATTTATATTTGTATGTAATATAAGATTTTATTGATATTTACTTAGTTTGAACCTCATTCTCTTTTTGTAATGCATCGAGTTCGGGCTAAGATTTTTTAAAGTCCCTATCATCGGATTGAATTATTTAAATATTTCATAAGTAAACCTTGATTATAAAATTTAATTTAACTTATTTATTTGTTTTTTCTATTTATTCATTTTACACTTTTAATCATATTTACTACACCACAATTAAATCCTAAAATATTCAATATTAGGCACATGTTTGATTTAAAAAAAAAAGAAACGTATTATATATGAGTGATGGTAAATAAAATGATAAATAAAAAAGGTAAGAGATATAAAACAAATAAATAACTATAAGGATATAAAGTCTAATATAAGAACAATTGTATAAAACAAATACGTATTTATAACATTCAATAATATGATTAAATTAAAAAATATTCAATATTTGACGTATTTTAAAGGTATTAACGAAATAATTATAATGATGTATTGTGTATAAAAGAAACACGTTTTTTAGCGTATTTCAGTCCATATATGATTAACATATTGATAAGATAATGATATAAAATGATTGATGAAAAAGTAAACAATATAAAACAAATTAAATAAATAACTATAAAGGTATAAATATAAGTATTAAAAACTATTTGATAGAGGTACATGGAGGTACATGCAGTGATAAACAATGGTAGCGGTGGAGCTAGTGTTGGCCGATGTGATTAAGGTAGAGGTGAAGGAAATGGTAGCCAATGGTGGTGGTGGTGACAACAATGACCAATGGTCGAAAAGTTGTTGTAAAGCACATGGAGATGGACGGTGGTGGCAACCCACAATAGTGGATATAAAGTGGTGGATGATGGCAATGGTAGCCGATGGTGTTGTGGAGGTGGTTGGCAGTGTAAAGCACATGGAGACGGTGGATATAAAAGTGGTGGGTGATGGCATTGGTAGCCGATGGTGTTGTGGAGGTGGTTGGCGGTGACCACCAACAATGGTGGTGGCAACAGCAATATGGCTTCAATTAAAATTTAAAACAAATATCATATTAAAAAAAATACCATAATTGGTAACATTTTAATTTATCCCATCTTCTTTCACTTGTACGTGTGGAACAAGAAAAAACTTCCTTTTGCTCCAACCGGTTGCTGTCACTATTCCTATCACATGTCATGTGAACCAACGGAATTCGTCATGTCCAATTCCATGTACCAAATGACCCCTAAAGGGTGTGGGTGCATTTCAGAATGGCCTGAAAGATTAGAACTACGTGTCTCACAAATTTTCGAAGCTAAGAAGAAAGGTCGATCCACAGCATGAATTTGGTAAAACATGCCAATGAAACAAATACCATGCGGCAGAGAATAAGACCATGATAATCACAACAAAAATCTTGATTCTACTAGGAATGTTTGCTCAAATACCAGGTAAATGTTATTGCACTTGTCACCTTCAAACATAACAAATCTTTTAATCAGTCTAACATCTTGAACATAAACATTAGAACAAGATCCTCTCAAAGAAAAGACTTAGTCATGCAAAGTTCCCAAAATGTCCTCATCCCTGAATAGATGATATCTGCACCAAACATAACACTAACTTAACATGATGACAAACTGCAACACATTTGAGACAGCTTTTTACATTTTAATATGGAAAGATTTCAAACATACACATTCACATCATAATATTAAGCGGACCAAGCTCCAAGAAATCACAATAAAGACAGGACATCTATATGACTGATACCACAATAATCCAAATGCAACACCATATGACTTGGTTAATATGTTTTTCAACACAGAAATTGCTTACAGCATACCATCAGTTTCATAATCAAAGGTGGGAAAGTAGGAAACCAGCACCTTAAGCTTTAAAAGCTCATTTTTAAGCAGAACTATACCTAGTTAGAGCATGAAAACAAGAAAAATGTAATGGCGTTTGGAGGCGGGAATGAGAAGAATGATCTGAATTGAAGGTTGAAAAAGAAAAGGAGAACCAAAGAGTCCAACTTTTCGATAAACCCAAATTCAAAAGGCACCAAACCCGTACTATGATGCCATCATTTATGTTCAACCCACAGAAATTAACATAACTCCTGTGAAATAAACAACAAAATCGATGTGAAGGGCTGAATGAAAGGGCACCCTGCAGAAAACCTGCAAGTATTTCAGAGCCATTGAAGTAGGACTCTACCCTGTGTTTGCCATTCATGCCCAATTCAAATTATCAATGTATAGCTAGCCATGCTCATTTTACGCATTCAAGGTGCAGAAAATAGTTTCAGACAATAATAGGCCAAGGTCAAAACCTAATTCTACTTTACCCATGCACCTAACTTTAATCGGGAAAACCAATTTCATTGGTTTCTAAAATAGCAACAAATCCCTAATTGACAATCCCACATCCACACAAATAAGAGAGGGAAGAGATCAAGAAAACATACTGTTTTTCACCGAGTTTTACTTCCGTGCCTCCATATTCAGGAAGGAGAACCGTATCTCCTTCGTTAACAGATACCGGAATCGTGTTACCAGATTTATCACGAGTTCCCGGCCCTACAGCAATAACTTTCCCGGAATTCAACTGCGGATCACATCAGTCAATTACACAATCAAAAACCGTCTCCATAACAAACGACAAACGAGAGAGAAGACTAGGAATTACCTTTGAAGATTTCTCAGGGAGAAGAATACCGGCGGTGGTTTTGGAAGGAGGAACAATCTTCTCGACCAACACTCTGTTGAGACATGGAATTAGACGCTTCGCCATTGCTACTTTGTATCAGTCTGTGTGTGAGAAATGAATGGCGTGTTCTGGGGGATTTAAGCACGAAAAGGATGGTAGAATACGGTGGTGGAAGGTTCTAGGCCACTTTGAAGAGGTTTCAGGGTTTTGAATAGGGTTCCGGCGGCCGCACCCCATTCGTGGCCCAGCCTACCCTTTTCATTGTACTAGGCCTAGTATAGTTAAGCCCATTAAATCATAGATCTGATATATTTTTATATAAGTTTTATTATTTATATATATAATGGTGACATGAGAGACACAAAAGTGGACGTGCCGGAGTGGTTATCGGGCATGACTAGAAATCATGTGGGCTCTGCCCGCGCAGGTTCGAATCCTGCCGTCCACGTTTTTCAATTTAATGATTTTTTTAGTCAGTTTGTTTATTTCTATGAGTAAATTAAGGATTTGGTCCATGTGGTTTGCTTATTTTTATGGAAATCGTCCATAGGCTTCATTTCTTATGGTTTTGGTGCATGTGGCATGCATTTTTGTTAGATTTTGACCTTCGACCTAAAGACCGTCTATCAGGTTCGTTAAAGTCAAGAGCATAAGTTTTTTCTTTTCATTTTCCATTTATTAGAACATTTTTTAATTAACTGTTCAAAAAGCAAGGGCTAAAATGAATATATTGAGACCTAAAGGACCAAAACATTAAAGTCACATATTTTATAGAGATATGTATACACACACATGTATATATATACAAGACAACAGGGGCGATAACCCCTCTCACACCACCGCTCATCCTTCCTGCTATCCCTCCCCCTCACCTTTACACCACCATGAAGCCACCTTTACTCCATCAAACAAGAGTTTACTCCGTTCATCTTCTCCAGAGTAACACATACATCGATCTTATATGGAGTTTACTTCGGTCATCTTCTCCGATCACCTATACCAACCAACCACCAAGGCACCAACACCACCTCCCTTTCTTCTGACTTACACACATACTATACATACACTGCACACATACATATTCTATGTTGATGGTTCGAGGGAGGGATGATTGGAGCAGTGGGGGATTTTCAATCGAGCAGTAGGGGTATAATACCCGTCAGATATGTATGTGTGTGTGTATATATATATCAGTTATATATATATATATATATTAAAGTTTGGGTTAGTTTTGGAAGTTGACCAAACTTGAGGGGTTAGTTCTGCATAACTCGCTTAAACTTTGTAATTTGGATGATGGGCTTGGGCTTGGGCTTTTGTATTTAAATTAGGGTTTTTTTTTTAAATTAGGGTTTTCTAATCCTTATATTAAACCTAACCCTAATTCATATTTTAGCCTAACCCTAATTCACATTTAAACCTAACCCTAATTCCTCTTATTGTGATAATCGCTAGAGAGAAACCCTAAGAGCTTGGAAGAGTCCATTGATAACCTAGGAGGGAACCCGACGGCCAAAAGCAAGTAAGGTTCCATCAATTTCTTGTCGGTTTGAGGTAAGTTTTTGTCCCATTCTCGAATCTATATATCTAGTAGTTGGGTTATAAAATTTTGGGATTGTTTAAGTAAGATTGAGTTGTGCCGGTGACTCGAAAGTCACCGATTCGATCAATAGTAATGGCAGCAACTAGGGTATGTCAAAATCGTCTTTAAAACCCAAAAATTCTTCTCGTTTTTCTCTCAAATTTAATCTTATGTGGTTTTTATAGTATGGATATATATATATATATGTATATATATATATATATTGATAGGATTTAGTTGAGTTTAGTTACATTATTAGTCGTTAAAGTGATTTAGTTTCGTTATACCACCAAGTTATCAGTTAGGATTAATAGTAGGTTTGGGTGTTTGTTTAGGGCATATATAAAGGAATAAACTTGGGG